ACGGGCGGGCGAGAGCCCCTGTTGGGACAGGCCCTGGAATGCTGGCCTCCTCCCCGAGTGCTCAGGCCCGCCACCTCCAGGAAGCCACTCCTGCACGCTGGAGCCTTCCTCATCTTTTCCTCCTTGGAGCTATGCCAGCAACTCAACTCAGCCTAGGCCCTGGAGAGGCCGAGAAGAAGGCATGGCCCTACCCTCAGGGGCCTCCCAGAAGGAAGCGGAGACTGGCCTGGATGCCAGGCTGTGTGTGAGGAGGTGAGGCAGGCATAAAATGTCTGCCTCACCTCCACAGGAAAGTAATACAGAAAGAGAATTCCAACCAAGGCATCCAGGAGTGCATCCCTGAAGAGAGGGCCTCTGAGCTGGACTGCAAGCAGTGGCTGGGGTGGCAGAGCAAGTGGAACGGCTTGGGGGGCAGGGAGCAGGAGGGGGCTGGCCCGCATGACTGTGCCTGGGGTCTAGTGGCAGTAGAGCTGAGTGGTCAGAAGCTGGGCTTGGGAGGTAAACCGCAGGTGCCAGTCCACGTCCTCCCGTCATCAGCTGGGTGAGCTCGGGCTCACCACTGAACCTCTCTTTGCCTCAGTTTCCTTCTTAGAAGGAGAGTAATTATAGCGCCTACTGAGAGGGCAGAGTGAGTCCAGTGACGGGGGTGCTCAGAGCTGGGCAGGCTCGCAGGGAGGCTCTAGCAGTGAGGGGCACAGGCGGGGAGGCCCACCCGCGGACTTATCACACACCACCCTGGTCTGATGTTGGGAGTCGACAGGCAGATGAAAAACTCCTGAAGGCAGGTCCCCAGTAGCTGCTCAGCAAATACCTGTGCCCTTGAACTGAAGTGACTGCCCTTCCCCATCTCCCAATACATGAAGTACTTTTTCTAATTACCATGTGTTACTAGGTACCAAACATGGAGGTAGGTACATATGGATGGGTTCTTATTTAATTCTTCCATCCACTCGAAAACACAGTGAGTGATAGAGGAAATCATCAACGCTTTACAGGTGCGAAAACCAAGTCCTGAGAGGTTAACAGCATAATATGCGCAAGGCCATGTGGGGGCCTGCGGCGGGATTTCCTCACTCCCAGTCCAGTGCTCTTTCTACTGCGCCCCGAACCGACAAGAACGCGGCCTGTCCAGAGCTGGGGGTGGCCTAGGGAACAGACGAGGGAGCCCCCACACACTCCCCATACACTCCCCCAGCTAAGCTTCTGTTCTGGTCACTACCGTACCCTTGACCCCTGAGCTATGTCCCCTCAGCTCTCCCCCTCTCCAATGCCCAGCCCCTCCCTTGCCACACCCCAGCCTCACTGCACTTCTGGCCTCCAGCTCCTCTCCCCTCTCCCTGCAGATTTTTGGGTTCTGCAAGGTGGTCATCACAGCCTCAGGGGTCCCGAGAGCCAAACGAGGGCGGGCAAGTCCCCAAAGGAGATTTAAAAAGTAAACGTCTGGACCCCATCCCCAGAAATTCTGAATTAGCCAGTGTGTGGTAGGATCTGGGCTTCTGTATTTTTTTAAAACTCCGTAAGATTCTAAAGTACAGCAAGAGTTAGAATCAGTGCTCTAGAGTCTAGACAGGTGCTGGGAGCAAATGCAGAATCTCAGGCCCCACTCGGGCCCCGAAGAACGGGATTTACGCTGACAGGTGCTGCCCTAGGCCAACCCTGTCTCCACAGGCAAGCAGGGAGGGATGCAAGGCCCTCAGGGAACTGGAGGGCGCCGTGAGTCTGAGGCCCTGGGAGGGGGCACAGGCCTGATGGAAGGAGGAAGACAGCAGGTCTCATCCACACAGCACCTGGAGGTGGCAGAGTGCTTTCTCATCTGGTCCTCAGCCCTGTCCCCTGAGGGAGTCGGGAAGAAAGTCTCATGCCCACCTGGGTAGACTGAGGCTGGAGCAAAGGCTCGACTTGACCAGTGCCACCCCTCTCCCCTGCACGGCCCCTGGCTCTGGGAACAGCAGATTTCCCCATCTCGTCTCAGCTGTCCTAGGAGGCAGGCAGGGCAGGAGGGTGATCGTTGCCCCAGGTAACAAATGAGGGAGTGGGGCCCAGGGCAGGGAACCGAGGGCAGAGCCTTCCACAAAACAGGACCAGTGCCCTGGGAAGAGGGCTCAGGGAGCTAAGGGGTTAAGGGTCACTGCTGACCAAAGCAGCTCTGCCAGGCGGGGTCATCAGTGGGCTTTGCAATGATTGACAGAATTTCATTCTCTCTCCTCCTCTCTGTGGCCAGCTGAGGAGTACATCTGGGACCAGTGTCAGCAGCACCCAGGTTGGATCCCAGGAAAACCCTGTTGCTCCTGAAAGGCCTTTCCGCCCAGGAAAAGAAGCCTGAATCTCCACCAGTACTCGCACTTGGGGCCCCTGTCTGCTGGGGAGAGAGAACAGGCGAGAATCCACCTGTCACCACACCTCACTGAGGATGGGCAGATTGGATTGAGGTGTGGTGAGGGAAGGGTCAGGAATAAGGGGAAAAGGAACCCCACCCACTCTGAGCTGGCCCCCCTGGTTGTTCTGCCTAGGGCAGAGGCCTGGTGTCTTCATCCAGGACCCCTCCCCCCTCTCCAAACCCCCTGTTCTCCAAGGATGAATATAGGGGCCTTCAAACTCCCCTGCTGGAGGAAGCTGGGTCCCCAGGGCCTGAGATGGGATGGAGGGGATCACAGTTGCCAGCATGGTGGTTGGGTGGGGGAAAAGTGATCACGACAGGGGGCCCCACCCCCACAGCCCTGGACTTCTGACAGCCCTTCCCCCCACCCTGCAGGCCCACCTGCTTCATCCAGTACCTCTCAGCAGAAAAGCTCAAGCATGGCACTGAGGAAACAGGAGGAGAGAGGGAGAGAGAGAAAAATACGAGGGAGGGGAAGAGAGAGGCCCCCCTCTGTCCACTGTGGCTTCTCTGCAGACCCAGAGCGCCCACTGCCACCCCCACCCCCATCCTGGCACAGCTGGGCCAAGGAGGATAAGGGAGGAGGCGGGAAGTCAGAGAGGGGAGCTGTGGACCCCACACTCAGCTTCCTACCCTGGGGTCTCACTCTCCACAGCTACCCCTCTCTGCCCTAGGGGGTCTCAGGACCAAATCACAGACACCACAGGGGGCAGGGAGGCCCTTCCCTCGAAGAGGAGGAACCAAGGGTGGAAGGATGAATGGGGACCCACCGGGATCGAGAGATGCCAGGCAGGCGGGCAGCAGCGGGTGTCCGAGACTGCTGCGGGCAGCCGGACACGACCGGCTGGATGCTCGTCCCTCCGTCCCTCTGTCCATCCAGGGCGGCTCCTCTCTGGGCGGTTCTGAAGCCGGGCGGGCGCTGTTAAAAAGCTTTTTATGTGTGTGTGTGTTAATCACATGATTGCCGTTCACCTGTATTTCGAACAAAGACAGCTCACTGTTTCAAGGCCCCGAACAAGAGTCTGGGCACAGGGAAGAGAAGGGAGGCGGGGGGAGGAGGGTTGGCAGCGCCGGGGGTGGCGTCGAGGAAAACTGGGGGGAGATTGTCCAAGGCCGGCAAGCGAGAGAAAGAGAAAACCCTTATCAAACTCCTAATTCACTGGGCTCCGAGGCCCCAGACACACTGGCCTGATTGTCTGGCTGGTTGTGTGTGCGAGCATGTGTGTGTGTGTGTGTGTGTTCCAATGTCCGCTCCCCCCACCCCCAACATGCCTTCGCCTCGTGTGACTACCTCATTGTGTCCCATTACCCACCCCCCTCCACCCCCTTGGCCTTTCCTGAGCATGAGGCCTTGCCTAGACCCCCTTTCCAGCCCCACTCCAGACAGGACTCCCCTGGGGTAGGCCTGGGGCCTTGCCCAGCTGCTGAGGAGCTCGGAGCCATACCTGGTTGCCAGTGCGGCCTAGGCTCCATCTGCCCCTCCATGCACATCCCACCTCCACCTCCACACCCGCCCATGGAGAAGAGAGATGGGCTGTGACCTTTGGAGGACAGACCTGGGGAAGGAAGAGAGAAAAAGGAGCCTTGGGTGATGAGCACGACAGAAAAACGGAGGGGGTCACCAAGCTGGGGAGGGGGCTTCGGAGAGAAACGGACAAAGACGAGGAGAGGGGGGCAGGGCAACTCCCCACCCTTTCTCCTGCTGGGGGCATGGGGGACTTCATGGTAACCAGGACTGGGACCCCCACACCAACAGAATGTGAACCCAGTGTGAAGAGAGTTGGGTCCTAGGAAGTGAGGTCCCAAAAGCCTTTCAGACCTACTTAAAGGGGGCCTTCCGTCCCAAGCCCAGCCTCCTGGGAACTTCAGTCCTGTCTTTTTCCTTGAGCCAGCCCACCTTTACTTGAGCAGGTGTCCAATGAGAAGGGACCAGGGGTCAGGCTGGGCATCTGCACTGGGCAGGGGGTGTCCCAGTACACCCTGCCATACCAGGTATAGACCTGGACGTCTCTAAGCTGAGACAGAGAGGGCAGCCTGAGTGGGGGTTGAGGCATGGTGGATGGCTGGGAAGGAAGGTCTGGCCACAGGCACTCTATTAGGCACTCATAAGACATCTTAAAGGGAAGCCACACAAGCCAGCTGCCCTCACATGTCAACAGGACCTTTACCTGCCTTCTTTTCATCCTTCCCCAATCTTTTGCCAACTGCCCACCCTGCTGTCTGAGGCAGAGATTGGGGATCCCAGTTGGGCCCAATTTTCCTCCAAGCAATAGGTCTTGACCCCACCCACCTGCATCCTTTGCTTTCCTGACCTGCCTGGCTAACCCCACCGCCTACACCTCCCCGATTAAGCTCAGGCCCCAAGACGGGCCTGGGGCAGCAGCGCAGGGAGATGGGGTGGGGGGGCCTGACGGAGGAGCCCTGAGTGTTGGGGACGAAGGAAAGCGCTGGAGGCTCCACCTTCTGCCCTTCCCTCCCTCCCCTCCCCCTCTATTCTGTCTGTCTGTCCTCCTCCTTTTCCTATCATGTTAAAAAATTGACTAATGAAAAAGAGATGNTCCCCCTCTCCCCCTCCTTCCTTCCCCAGCCCTCGGCAGCAGCTCAGTGCTCAGTCAGTCTCAGGCTGTCCGGCCAGGGTGGTTGGCGGTGAGGATTCAGGCTCCGTCCTGACGAGGCCGTGGCCTGAAGCTCAGGGGCCCCCAGCCCCTCCCTCCCAGCCCACCAGCGTCACCCTCCAGCCCCGAGCTGGACCGCACACCTTGGGACACGGTTTTCCACTTCCTAAGGACGAGCCCCAGACTGGAGGAGAGGTCCGAGGAGGTGAGTGAGTGCGCAGTCCGCCCCTCCGCTCCTCCCTTGCTGGGCCTAGGTCTGGGACCCCGCTGTGGGGTGTGGGGTGTGGGGTGGAGAGAGGCTGACATCCGCACCCACCCCTCACCCAGCTCCTCTAGACTCGTCGGGGGCAGACGGAAGGGAAGAAGGAAAGGTGAGCGAAAAGGTGGGAAATTCCAGGAGCCGGGATTAGAGCAGAATAAAGAGTCCGTTTTTCTTCCTTTCCATCAACAAACCTCCACCCAAAAGGAGGTTAAAAAAAAACCACCCAAACCCACCCACACCAAGAGACGGTTGGGGCCAGGTGGTGGGAAGACGTGGAGGCGGGAGCTAGGAGGCCGAGCAGGGTCTAGCATGTGCGCGGGCCCCCGGGGCTGCAGTGGATTTGCGGGGAACAAGGCGGGCACCACCTCGGGGCTGTGCCCGCGTCGCCTCCCGGGCCGCCGTCGGGGCTGTGCGAGCGGCCGCTCCATCCCGCCCTCCTTCCCGTCCAGGTGAGCGTGGGACTCTTCGCAAGGACCCCGGCGGCGGGCCCCGGGGAGGCGGCCGAGGCGGCAGTGGCCGGGGGCGACATGGCGGAGGAGCAGGACCTCTCCGAGGTGGAGCTGAGTCCCGTAGGCTCTGAGGAGCCCCGCTGCCTGTCCCCGGGGAGCGCGCCCTCGCTGGGGCCCGACGGCGGCGGCGGCGGCGGCGGCGGGTCGGGCCTGGGAGCCAGCCCCGGGCCCGGCGAGCTGGGCAAGGTCAAGAAGGAGCAGCAGGACGGCGAGGCGGACGATGACAAGTTCCCCGTGTGCATCCGCGAGGCCGTCAGCCAGGTGCTGAGCGGCTACGACTGGACGCTGGTGCCCATGCCCGTGCGCGTCAATGGCGCCAGCAAGAGCAAACCGCACGTCAAGCGGCCCATGAACGCCTTCATGGTGTGGGCGCAGGCGGCGCGCAGGAAGCTGGCCGACCAGTATCCTCACCTGCACAACGCCGAGCTCAGCAAGACGCTGGGCAAGCTCTGGAGGTGAGCGCCCACCCGCCTCCGGGACCTTCCGCCGGCCCTTCAGATGCGGGTGGGCTCAGGCCGGACGGGGACTCCTGGGGCCCTTCTCCAGGGGACAGTCCCCTCCTGACGGGGCTGGGAGACCAAGTGTGGGCATCGGGCCCGCCCTGCCCCCACTAGTGCCCCCTTAGGGTGGCGCTGGCTCCCCACCCGGGGCAGCGGCCGGGAAGGCGCCCCCTCGTGGTTGGAATCCTGTCGGTGGCAGGCGGTAGGGCCTGGGCTTCTGGGGGAGTCAAGGCGGGAAGGACGGAAGGATGGCGGAGGGCTCACGCCGCAGGCCTGCGCTGACCGCCTTCCTACAGGCACGCACACGCAGCGGGGCCACTGCCACCAACTCCCGTGGTGTGGGATGAGGGGGAAACGCTTGGGGAAGAACTCAAGGCCTGGCTGGAGAGGCAGGGAAACTGAGGCAGCCCGATGGAGAAGTCGGGAAAGCTCAAGGAAAGCAAGGAATTTAGACGGGAGTCTGAGTGAGGGACGGAGAACGACTGCGGGACAACTCTACAGGGTCCTGTCCTCGCCCACTGCCTTCGGTGTGCCCCCCTGACCCCACTCTCCTTCAGTCCAGGGCGGAAAAGAGCCTCCCGCTCCCACCCTGCCCCAAAGCTGCCAGGCTTGTCTCTCTCTCCCTCCTGCTCCCAGTTCGGCGCCATCTTTCTTTCCAGGGCCCCACCCAGCATTGAGTAACCTCCTACCCCTCCAGCCCAGAAGCGGGAGCTAAGAGCCCTGGCCAGGAGGAAAGCTTGGCCCCCTTCCTACCCAGGGTCCCTCAGAGTCCCACGCTCCCAGGGACCAGCCCAAACCTCTGGGGGGAAAACATCTCCCCAAGGAGGACGTTGGCGGACCCTCCCCTTGGGTCTGGGTTTCAGCCCTGCACCCTTGGGAACACGTTGAGCAGGGCAACCCCCACCCCCAGAGTCCTGGGCGGCTCACAAAGAGAACAGGGGCTCCAGGAGATGCGACCCTGCAGAGGTCACCTGATTCCCCACTAGGCTGCCCAAGAGACAGCCCTGAAAGGGAAAGGGACCGCAAAGGCCACGTAACAGCTGGTGGCAGAGCCAGGACCAGACCCCAGGTCTCCTGACTCTTCGTCCAGCGGCCTTTCCCTGCACCGCCCTTGGTGACAATGGTGGGTCACCCCTTCACTCTAAGGCGTGGTCAGGAGGTTGTGAGGGTAGGGGCAAAGAAGAGGAGAGCAGTGAGGCTCACCTTTGTCAGAGGAGCCTGCCACCCCCTTGCTGCTGCCTCCGCACAGTGGGGATTGGGTCCAGAAGGCCAAAGGCTTAGGGGGATGCGAGGAGCAGGAGGGCCCCCAAGAGACCAAGAGAGAACCACTTCCAGTCCCCTGGCCCTGTCCTTGGCCATGTGTTTGCTGAAGGCCTGGTGCCCCTTCTCCCCCTCTCAGCCCCCAGCGCTCTGCTCATCCTGGGCAGGCCCCAGGCTCAGCAGCTAACCTACCATGTGGACCCAGGGGGTCCAGCTCTGCCGAAGTCAAAGCTAGCTCCTCTGCCCAAGGTTCATTCACACCCGCGTAGGCCAGTACCCTTGGTGCCATGGGATGGAAAAGAACAAGTGAGAGACAGACCGCCAAGTGGGAGACAGACAGGCAGACAGAGCAGGCCCTGGGGACCGTGAGCAGACCACAGCACGAGTCCAATGAGAGCATCAGAGCAAGGATGAACCCCCACTTCTCCCACCACCCCATCACCAAGGATTTAAGATTGGACCCTCCACTGTCCCTTTCCCTGTTCACCCAGCCCACAACCCTGGGCTTGGGCTCCCTCAAGAGGAATCCTTCCTGGCCACCACTCAAGGTGTGCGCACAGGGGCCCAGGGTGCCCCCCAGGGGCCAACCTGGAGTGGGGCAATCAGGAAAGCAGGCACTGCTTGCTCAGGACCCAATCCCAGGGGTAGGAGGGTGGCAGGACAATGCCAAGGATCAAAGACTGTGCCAACATGTGGGCGTGCTACCTGGACCCAGGGTGGGATCCTGAGAGGCACCTGGACCCCAGCTGAGCTGGCCAGTCTCTCCATGGGCTCCTGAGGCCCCGGCCAGCTCATGACTCCCCGGCCATCAGGAAGGGGATGATTCGGTAGGCAGAGCTGGAGAACAGGGGCCCTACACCTGAAAAGAGAGACAGATGGACAGACTGTGTGGGGTGCTGGAGGTAGATCGGGGCTAGACACATCAGCGTCCAGGTCCTGGTTCCTAAGTGGCTATGTGAACTCCGACAGTCATGCTAACTTTGGCACCCGCCTGGGAGAGGACTGTTGGGTGCAGATCACATGGTACTGGCTGTGTGTGGGTTGACCTGCCTGGAGAGAATAATTAGAGCCAAGAGAGTAAAAGGAAGTCCCAGGCTAGAGCCTCTCCTGACCGCCGCACCCCCCCCCACTCCCCATCCCAGGTTCACAGGCCCCTTCCCTGCCAGGAGGAGTGGATGGAGTAGGCCAGTGCCCCACCTTGGGAGCCCCCCAGGTTGGGGGTTCCAGTTTGGTCAGGGAACCAGTCCTCTCCCCACCCCTATTCCAAATCTTGGAGACCCAGAGGACAGAGGTGAAGTGAAGGTGCAGATGAGGATTGGGTTTGCTGTTAGAGCTGTGGGTGACAGCGGTGGGTGACATGGGGGCGGAGGAGGACAGTGCTGAATGAGGGCCGGCCTGGAGTCAAGGTTAGATTTGGGATGGGCTCTCTGTGGTAGGGCAGGATGGGTTTGGGGTCAGGAGAGCCTGCACAGAGCTGAAGTCGGGGTGAGGCTGGGGTTGAGGTTGGAGGTGGGGTTCGCCTCTGCAGCCAGTGAGGGGCCGGACTGGACCGGACCAGGCCGGGGTTAGGGCTGGGGTTGGGGATGGCAGGCGGGCCTGAGGTTAGGTTTCTATCCAGGCTAACCTGGTACTGCGGGGAACCAGCAGGGGAAGTGACCGTGGGATGCAGTGTTGCATTCTTCCCTCCCTTCTGGCCTGTGCCCTCCCTCTGCACCCCCTGCCATTTTCTTGCTGATTCACACCCAATTGCCAGCTGGGCAGAGGGCACACGGAAGGTTTGGGGGGGGAGACCAAGCTCAGTGGCCCCAGCCATCCCGGGAGCCTCTGTTATGGCCGAGCCTGCTCTGCTCCCTTAATACAGTTCTACCCGCCACGCACCCACACACACCTTCAGGGCCTGCCCCACCCACTCCCCTGGGCCCAGCCTCCCAGAGAACCTGGCTGTGGGGGCATGGCTGGTGGGAAGAAGTCTGTATCCCACACCCGACTCCTGAGGCCCTGGGGTCCCCATCCCCTCACTCGGCTAGAGGGATCCTTGGAGAAAGCTGGGCCGGGGCTGGGCTCCACAGCCGGGGGGGAGGGGACAGCGGGGGAGGCTAAGCTGCAGAGGAATGCTGCTGCCGGGAAGGAGGTGCCTGGTATGACCACCCGCTCCCATCCTGGGTGGGGAGGGCTCTGCCTCCTGCTAACTGGGAGAAGAGGGCACCCACTGGGGGTGGGGGGAGCTGGAGAGAGCCGCCCTTTGGGCAGAGGGACAGAGCTGCTCCTCCAGCGTCCCTTATGTCTAGGTGTGTGTTCTTTCCACTTAGCACCCTCTGCAAGGTACCCCATCCTGCCCTCCTCACCCTGGGGCAGCCAAGCTCTGGAAACACCCCCTTCTCCACCCTCCAGTCCTGGCCTGAGGCTGGAGTCCAGTGGGCAGGGGCAGTGCCTTCAGGGCTGCCCTCCACTGGCTGGTCACGGACTGGGGAGAGGATTTGTCCACCCCCGTCCGGGTCTGGGAAGAGCGTCTGGCTTCCTGTACTCTGTCACCCATGGACAAGGAGCTATGATTCCCCAGGGGGCAGCCAAGGGCACTCACATCCCGCCCCTCTGCCCAGCACGCTGGAGTTCACAGAATCAGTTTTCCAGAGTTAAGATGGGCCCACCCAAGTCCTCCTGTCCAACACCCCTCCCCCCCCAAGCAGCATTAGAATCGCACCTGTTTCTCAGGTGCCCTCTCCTTGTCAGGCCTGGTGCAAATGCTTCACCTCCATTATCTTGACCAGTCCCACACCCGGTGAAGTAGGTTATTGTCATCCTCGTTTTGTAGGTGAAGAAACTAAGGCTCAGAGAAGTGACTTGCCCACGGTCACACAGCTAGTAAGTAGCAGAGACTGGGCTTTTCCCCCTCACCATGCTGCTTCTCCGTTTGCACACCTCGAGTCCCAGGGAGCTCACCCTCTGACGAGGCAGCCAGCTCCACTTGCGGACAGCTTTGGTGATAAGAATTTTTCCTCTCCTCGAACTGACATCTGCCCCTCCTAAGTTCTATGCCTACTTCGAACTCCACCCTCAGGGGCTACCAGGAGCAACTGGCTGACCCTTCTCATGCCCCAGCCCGAGAGTTTTGGGGGTGAGATCACAGCCCTCTGAGCCTGGGGTTCCTTGGGCCTCACACCTTCCAGCCCATAAACCAAAGAGCAAGCTTCAATGCTGGGTCCTGCTTGCAGGGCTCCCCATCCCCAGCCTCTCATCTGGCCCCTCTGCTGTCTCCCCCGACTGCCGCTCCCCCTCACAGGCTGCTGAATGAGAGTGACAAGCGCCCCTTCATTGAGGAGGCCGAGCGGCTGCGGATGCAGCACAAGAAGGACCACCCAGACTACAAGTACCAGCCTCGGAGACGGAAGAACGGGAAAGCAGCGCAGGGGGAGTCGGAGTGCCCCGGCGGGGAGGCCGAGCAGGGCGGGGCTGCCGCCATCCAGGCCCACTACAAGAGCGCCCACCTGGACCACCGGCACCCCGGAGAGGGCTCCCCGATGTCAGACGGGAACCCTGAGCATCCGTCAGGTGAATGCTGGGCTGGGAGCTGGAGTGGGCTGTGATGGCTTGCGATGGGTGCGGAAGCCTGGGCCCTGGGAAGGGCTTGCCAGGCTGCGCAGTCACCCCAGCTGGGGTGCAGGGGCTCAGAGGGAGCTCAGTGGGGACTCAGGCGCCAGGGGAGGCAGTTGGGCAAGATGGCATGGCTGATGGAAGGGGGCCCTGCTGCTGAGTGAACAGGCCCGTTAAGGAGGCCATGGGTGAACGACCACAAGGTCAGGCGGGACAGGATGGCTCCGAGAAATGGGACACCGGGTGGGGAAGAGGTCATTGCCGTTTTCCCACCTCCAGTCTGACGGGGGAGACACGGCATGTGACGTCGAGCACATGCCATGCAAGGGCCAGACGTAGGGCATCTTGTTTCATTCTCATTAGTGATAACAGCAGCTAACACGAATTGAGCACCTATTGTGTGCCAGGCACTGTGCTAACTGCTGTATGTGTATTAACTCACTCGATCATTCTGAACTGGGATAAGGCAGCCACTCTGCCTGGGCTCAGATCTCAGCTGTGACGCTCACTACTCTCATTTGAAGGGTGACTTGCCACACAGCTGAGGTCTGAGCCCAGGCACTTTGGCTCCGAGACCTCTGAGGGCAACACCGCTGCCTCGCATGTGTTCATAACATAGAGAATGCCGTGCGTGGCTCAGGCTCATGGGAAGACATGTCCCAAGTCTTCCTCTGTGCCTGGCCCGGGAGCAGGCAGACACTCAGAAGCCCACGGTCTACAGCAGGGGTCGGCAAACTTTTGAGATGGGAGAGCCAATCCGGTCCCTCACAACAATTTAAAAATTATTTGAGAGCCATAAATACATTTTTACAAATAAGGAAAATTTAAAGTAATATTATAACAAGTAATAGTATTAATCATATCTATTAAAATAAGAAAAATTCACACAAAAAATTGCTCCCATGTACATACCCAAAGAGCCGCATGTGGCTCACAAGCTGCAGTTTGCCAGCCCCTGGCGTCGAGGGAGGAGCAGGGATGAACACACGTGAATTAAGACAGGAAGAAGCAAGTGCACACAAAGCCCACCCAAGACCCAGAGGGGACATGACCCCAGGGAGGAGTCACCCACCACCCATCCAGTCAGATCTCCAAAAATATCCAGCCACCTGCCAGACTCTGGTCAAGGAAGGCTTCTGGAAGGAGGCTGTGTCTGAGCTGCTTGGGATTGTCTCTGTTTTACTGATAAGGAAACTGGTTAAGAGAAGATAGGGGTCTGCCCAGGGTCACACAGGATGGAAACCCAAAGTCCAGAGCACTTGGCCAGTGCAGGACGTGGCATTGCCTCTGGTCTGACGGAGAAGGCAGAGGCATGACCCTGGACCATGTACAGAACCACCACCTCAGAACATAACTGTGAGCGTGGGTTTTTCCTCAGCCTTCACAGACCAGCTCAGCTACCTCTCCTCAGTGAGACCTTGGCCAAGTCCCCAGGGCAGGGTGAGTGGCTTTCTCTGCTGGACTCTGGAACCCTGTGCAGGCCCCGTCATCACAGCACTTTTGAAGCTGCACTCTAGCCACGTGTGGGTCTCAGGATCTCCCTAATTCTGTGAGCTTGTGAAGACAGCGACCCATTTCATTTACACTTGTATCCCCTGTGCCTGGCACAGTGCCCCCTAAGTGTTTGCTGAATGAATATGTGTGTGAGAAAATGGAAGAAGGAACAGGGGTGGAGCAGGTTGTTACCTCAGTGCTCTCCTGAACGAGCAGGGAAAAGCAGCTGGAGGAACAGTGGACAGCGTGGTGTGTGATGGGCACTGACAGCATGGCCAGCGGGGCTGGCTTAGAGGGACGGTCTCCTGGAGTAAGGGGCCTTGGGAGGAGGGAAAGGGTCAGAGGGGACACATCTCTGTTCAGGGGCCACGGCAGGAGGAGGCACAGGCAAGCCAGCAAAAGTGAAAGAGAGTGAAGAGTGAGGAGGCGGGTGAGGTCAGCAGGGAGAGCGGCCAGCAGAGGCCAAGCGTGCGCGGAGGGGAGCAGGTGAGCGGGATGGGCAGCCAGGCCCCACTGGGTTCAGCAGCTAAGGAGCAGTGGGAACTGCGAGAGAAGACTTTCCAACGGGAAAGGTCTTTCAAAAGGAAGCGGGCCTCTCCAGGAGGGGTGGTGACCAAGGAAGTCCTGCTCTGGGTGGGCGGCAGAACCCTTCCCTAAGATTGGGGAATTTCATGAACAACTGCAGACCAACCCAAGACCGTTATATAAATAGAAGCCAACCCAGGCTGCCCAAACACGTAAAACGTACGAGGTCACGCCGGGATCCGCCCTCAGCCTCCTGGAGGTGAACCGCTTGTCTGACGGTGAACCATCAGAATCCATAAGCCTCTGACCTCATTTCCTGCTTCTCTCTCTGTCTCCCTTCCGCCCAGGCCAGAGCCATGGCCCACCCACCCCTCCGACCACCCCAAAGACAGAGCTGCAGTCGGGCAAGGCAGACCCCAAGCGGGATGGGCGCTCCCTGGGGGAGGGCGGGAAGCCTCACATCGACTTCGGCAACGTGGACATCGGTGAGATCAGTCACGAGGTAATGTCCAACATGGAGACCTTTGATGTGGCTGAGTTGGACCAGTACCTGCCGCCCAATGGGCACCCGGGCCACGTGGGCAGCTACTCGGCAGCTGGCTATGGGCTGGGCAGCGCCCTGGCTGTGGCCAGTGGACACTCCGCCTGGATCTCCAAGCCGCCAGGCGTGGCTCTGCCCACGGTCTCACCACCTGGTGTGGATGCCAAAGCCCAGGTGAAGACAGAGACCGCGGGGCCCCAGGGGCCCCCACACTACAGCGACCAGCCATCCACCTCGCAGATCGCCTACACCTCCCTCAGTCTGCCCCACTATGGCTCTGCCTTCCCCTCCATCTCCCGCCCCCAGTTTGACTACTCTGACCATCAGCCCTCAGGACCCTATTACGGCCATTCGGGCCAGGCCTCTGGCCTCTACTCGGCCTTCTCCTACATGGGGCCCTCACAGCGGCCCCTCTACACGGCCATCTCTGACCCCAGCCCCTCAGGGCCCCAGTCCCACAGCCCCACACACTGGGAGCAGCCAGTATACACGACGCTGTCCCGGCCTTAAAAGGGGGCCCTGTCAACCACCAGCCCTGCCCAGCCCCTCTGGGTAGCACGTCCCTCCCCCAGCCCTTGCGTCCTGTTCCTTGCCCATCGCAGGCCTGGTGGTGGCTGGGGAGGAGGCTGCAGAGGCTGACAGCTGAGGGAAGGCTTTCTGTCTGGCTCACTGCCTTTGATGACCCCACCCTGTCCTATCCAGGCTCTGGCCCAGGCAAAGCCCTCGGCTACTAGGCTGGGCAGAGGAGGAGGGTGATTGTTGCCCCTAGACTGAACGGTGAGGGGCGGCACCTTCCCCCGAGGATGACCCTCGATCCCAGGACCCGAGAAGGACTCACTCACCCTCCTGTGGGAAGGGGAAGCACCCAGGGTCGGATGGGAATCGGAGGCCTTGCCACTCCTGTGCCTGTGTTTCCTCTCATGGAAAATGAGGGGTCTGACATAGCCCATGCCACCTGTGCCACCTGCCTAAGATCAAGGCCAACCAGAGACCTGCATCATTGCCTGGAATGGGCTACGTCTGCCCCTTGGGGGCTGAGGACAGCTTTGAACAGCCTGGGAGGGTGTGGGGGTGGGGTAGGGGCTCAGAGGGAGGTCTCCTCATCCCTGCCCCCCCATGCCCCCTCCCCTCCTGAACACAGGAAGGACTTGGCACAGAGGCCCCAGATCCAATTCTGTGCCAGTAACCTCAGTCTTTGTCTCGTGGAGAAAGAGGGCCCCTGGTCCTCCACTGTGACCTCCCAGACCTTGAGGCACACCCCCAGAGGTGAGGAAAGGATTCGGAGACAATTCAGAGCCTTCCTCCCGGCTCCCCGCCAAGCCCGTCTTCCCTCACCAGGCTCTGTGGCCCCTGCTCTGGCAGCCCCAACTCCTTGGGCTTCCCAGAGAGCTACCGTTTCTCAGGCCCAAACCCTCTGCTCCCAGAGGAGACGCAGGGCCCAGCACCCAGGGTGCTGGCAGCAGGCTGAAGACACTGAACTCCTCATGTGTACATTCTGCCCCGGCCTTTTGCCCTACGCCTCCCAATGGTATCTGAATAAAGTATGTAGCTCTGTCTGCCCCTATTTTCCTGTTCTGCAGCCCCCACAATCCACATGTAACTCATTACTGCCCCCTCTTATTTATCTCGTAGCTCCCTCTCCCCTCTTCCCCTCCTAGGTTCTCCAGCCCCTATTAACTCTGCATTAAGCATTCCACATAATAAAATTAAAGGTTCCAGTTACCTGCTTGGTGGGCCTGACCTGGCCTGTCTCTTGGTCTCTTATCCCTGTACCTGTGCTTCCTCAAACACCTTCTGGAAATAGCTAGGGGTGGAATGCAGAGGATAGATCACCCCAAGTTCTACCCTCTCCCCTAGGAAGGTGGGGGCAATGCAGTGGGTTAGGACAACTGGCATCGAAATGGAGTCAGTCTGTGCTCAGGGGCTGAGGCCTGGGATGGGAGCTCTCCCCCCAGTCCAGCTGTGTCCACACTGCAGGTGGGCTACTCACTGGCTCAAGCTGGAACTGTCAGAGCGCCTCCAAGCAGCCCCTTTGCTTGCCCAGCAGAGAGGAGGGGGCTTGCAAAGATTTCAAGGGACAGATATTTGAAAGAGAGGCAGGTCAGGCCTGACTTCTTGCTGTCTGCAGCCAGCAAGCCTGGTCCTTTAGAATGTGTGGCTGGGCCTTCTCTCTGTGCACCCCTCCACTTGCCACACACAGGCGCGCGCGCGCACACAGGTCTACTCCAGTATCTAGCCCATCTTCACAGCCGCTGCCCGTGTCTAAGCATAAACCCAGGAGGGCAGACATGCCAACGAACCCTTCAGTACTTCCGAAGAGCTCTTTCCTCAGCAGAATTCCAAGCTGTGATTGGGGACCAGGAGCCATTCCACCTTGGGGACAGGGGAACTCTCTTCACCACCGTGCTCCACTGATGGACGGCTCCAATGGTTGGGAGTCTTCCTTATCCCCAGCTAATAATAACAGTAACAGGTGCCATGTACTACTGACTGCCCCCTGGCCAGGTGCTTTGTCATTCCGGACTATGAGGGGTGGGTCTGATCAGTACCCCCATTTTCCAGATGGGGAAACTGAAGCTTTGAGAGGTGCATGCTAAGGAGTGCTGGTGCCAGAATTTGAGGGCAGCACTGACTCCACCTCTGCACCATTCGCCACCTTCCACCTGCCCGCTGCCTGCGGGCCCTCCTTTCACTTTTAATCTGAAGTGACGCTTCTTTCACTGCTCCAGCCCAGCTCCCTCATCCACCTCTCACCTCCTGGTCAAGACCTGGGGTGGGGTGGGGAGTGCCAAGCTCGAGCCCAATCCTCCAGGGTGGCCAAACTCCCATCTGGAAGCTGCGTCATGGAAGCTCTTCGGATAACCTCACCCCAACTGCTGGCTCCCATGAAGCTTAGTGGTAGCTGCAAATCCTGCTCTTACAGACGGTATCTGCTGCCAAGTCAGATCACCCCAACCGGACATACGATGTTTCCTGCTGTTTGGTTTTGTTGTAGATAAATGCACGATTTTATACTCATCTTTAACAGATCTCATCTTGTTGGATTTGACCATTTCCCACCTATATTAAACCTTTTGGAATCTTGACTACTACTTATCAGCTCTCCTCCGAGCTTTATGTATCTGCAACCTTGTCACCATTCAAGTCACCAATGGAAAGGCTGAAATGAAGAGGAGCAGGCCCTGTGTACACCACTAACTCCCTCTCCATCATCAGTTCTGTTATCTACACTCTTAGGGAGAGACCATCCAATCAATTCTGCATCTATCTAATTACATCACCACGAAGCACACATTTCTCTATCGTAGCCACACAGACTGCCCGATGCCTTGCTAAAATCAACATTTGTTTTATCTTTCGACCTACCAGACCAGTCCCCACTAAAAAAACGAATTTTGGTTCATGTGGCGATATTCTTAGAAACAAACCTTATGCTAGTTCCTGGGTCTCTTCTTTATTGTTTTCAAATATGCAATAACCTTTTCTCTAATTGTTAGGTATCAGTCAGTAGTAACCTCATGTGCTCGTAGTTTTTACAGCCCACCCTGTGGCCTCTGTTGAAAAACAGGACATTAGTCCATTTCCAGTCTGTTCACTGCTCCTGCTCTCGAGGGGACTGTGGACATGGAGCCACGGGGCAGGGGGAAGGGCTACATCAAGATGAAACCACCACTCCAGGTCCCTGCATCTCATGAGATCTACTGGGAAGTCACTGGAGATATGGGAAGAGGACAAATAGCCCTGGAGAAGTTGGAAGACCTGCCTTGTGCTCATCCCTTAGACCCAAGTTCCGGATGTGCTGGGGCCTCAGTCAGGTAGTGGCTCCACGTGTAGAGAGAAGGGGCCAGGTGTTTCTGGAGAGGACTGAGGAGACTATGCCCAGGCCTGGCCAGGTGAGTAGCAAGGGACGGACTCCCTGATAAAGGACCAAAACACCCCTTTCTCCATCTCCCCTACACCCTATCCCCTAAGGGTTAACCCCCTACTCCCTCTCCCAGCCTCTTCTCTCCTCCCCACCCAAACCCCATCTCCCTTTAATCACATCTGATACTGAGTGGCCCAGCAGGAACAAAGAAACCATTTAGAGAAACGGGCCCGAGAAAGTGACCCCCGCACTCTGGGGCGGCCGCCTGGATGCCAGCACAAAGGCGGCATTTCAGAGCTGAAATTTCAGCACCCAACTTGATTAAAGGATTCCACGGGCTTGGAGGAGGGTGGAAGGGGGTGCAAAGTCCACTGCTCCCTGAATTAACCCTTCTCCAGGGCAGTCAACTCCCCTCCCGCCCCTGGGACTGCTCACCACTCCCACTTTGTCCAGGGTGCACCCACCCCTGGGGACCATGCCTCTTGCAGAGGTCAGGCTGGCCCAGCTCCTCATCTTCCTGGAAGGGGAGCTAGCAGCAGAATGGAGGTCAAGGCTGGAATACTCAGGGCGCCAGTTCTCCCTTCTATCTCTGTTGGTGTCACTACATAACCTATCCCTGCCCCCGCCCCCTCCCCCCCCAGCCCCAGGAAGGAGGAACCAACGTGATTGGTCTTACCACAGGTTGGGTAAGCAGAGTGAAGAGAACAGGACCCATTAGAACTTGGGCAGAGGATGATGAGTTCCAGTCCTGATTTAATGCCACGCCTTGAACCCAGGAGCCCTACTTCTCCACCCACCGTCATCCCAGCACCCATCCCAGTCAAGGCCTCAGAGGATCAAGGGAATAAGACATCTCCCAGAGGCAGAAAGGAGAGGGTATGGGTGGGGCAGAGGTGGGCCACGGAGGACAGTGTGTGGGCAGTGGGGACTGAGGGGGCCGGGGGTGGGCAGGTGCTGGGTCCTTGCTCCAGCTGCTGACTTGCCCAGCAGTACTGTGCTTGGGGTAGGGGGGGGATCGTGCATCCCCAAGCTTCCTGCTGGGGCACTGCTCCTGAAAGGGGATCCGAGCCCATGATAAGAGGCTCGAGGCAGGTCCTTAGGAAACAATGGGTGGCTTGATGAGACCTGCTCTGTGATACTCCTGAGAAGGGAGAAGCCCCTGCAGCCAGTCCCCACTGGAAAGGAAATTGGGGGTTTCCGTGGCAACCAGCTCCCTGGGCACAAAGGCTCGTCTGTCTGCTGGGAAGGCAGCTGAGATGTCTCCCTGCAGCAGCCTTTGCTCTGGTGAAGGGGAGATGGAGGGAGGGATGCGGGGTATCCACAGGGGATGAGGGCCCCTGGTGCTTCTTAAAGAGCTGACAGTCACAAGGCCAGTGCGATGGGTGCCGCCTCGGGCCGCAGGGCGGTAACAGGGAAGAAGTGGGTGGGCACAGCAGGTAGCTGGAGGCCGAGGGGTAGAAAGGCTGAATAGTTTATTATTTACATGTATAAAGAACATGAGAACAGAAGTGGGGCTGAGGCACCGTCAGGAAGTGGTTCCAGCTCAGTCGGTGATGATGAGCTCATCTACCCCCCAATCTTCATAGCTCCCGTCGGGCAGGTAGCGCCGGATGATGATGGGGATCTTTCGGGCCCTGTGGCAGGGAAGAAGTCACAAGTACGTGAGGGCTGGGGACCCCAGCTCCACAGCAGGGGGGACAGACTGTGTGCAGGAGTCTTAGGAGCATCCTCTTGGGACCATGAATGTACTTTGTAGGAAAGGAATTACAATAACCCCTGAGTGTGGGACTGTGGGTCTGGAAGGGCTCTGCCATCCCCAGGCGGAGGGGCGGAGGGGAAGAGTGGGGGGCTGACTGGCAAGGCCAAGTGCAGCAGGAACAAGGGATTCTAACAGCCAGGAGAGGTCATGTCTCATCAGTGCCCTGCCCTTTTCCTGCCCCTCCACCCCCACCCTCCTCCTTCCTGGGGGGCTGCCGCCTGAATGAGCTAAGGATCCACAGAAACAAGCACCACACTTCCCCAGCAAGAAGTGGGGGTCAGGGTGTGCAGAGAACCCACAGGAGGCCTCCCCGGACTCGGGGGCAGTGAACCGTGATCTGGGCGACTTACTTGAGCTCTTTCATGGCGATGAGCAAGGGATCTGTCTCCCCCTCCAGCTCGACCATCACAGGGGCACACATCCTGTGGGTACAGGGACAGGTGTTGGGGAGCTCGCTTCACAAACAGGGCTGGATCGGCACCCCAGTCCTCGCCTAGGCAGACAGGCGTTATGGATGGGCAGTGGTTCAGAGGCACTGACTGGCTGTGAGGATACACGAGTGGGAGCCAGGAGGCCGGATTTCAACTTTGCCTCCAGAGGTACTGAACTGCTCTCCAAATCTCAGCATCATTTGAAAATGAAGACAAAAAGCCCTGCCTTGCCTACATGATGATACTAAAACACTACTGGCTAACAAGCCAAGACTCGCTAAGTGCCATACGCGACTCTCACCTCTTTACATAGATTATTTCACATGAAGTGAGTACTATTATTACTTCTGTTTTACTGATGAGGAACTGAGGCACAGAGAGGTCAGTAACGTGCCCAAGGTCACACAGCCAGTAAGTGGCAGAGCCAAGATTTGAACCCTGCGTGTTCCTGCCCACTGTGCTCACTCATTTATAAGCTGAAGATCCATAAACTTTAGAAAGCTATTATGAACGGGACAAGTGTAAGCTTTCATCACAAGGCCATAGGACATTCACCATGCCAGCTCCCCTGCCAGGGACCGTCCCCAGGGCCTACAGCAGGTTCCTGAACCTAGTGGCCACACCAGAGTATTCCAGCACAAAGAAAGGGCATGTGCAAAGGCTGGCCTTCTGACTGCCCTAATCCAACGCCCCCAGGCCCTGCCTCAGGACCAGGCGCCCGTTTTCCTTCTTGGCAACCCCCCTCAGAAGTCCTGCTCTTCCAGCCTCCATGCGGGGCCGGTGTCAGGCACTCACCTGCTAACTTTCTGTCCACGATCAGTCTGGCCCCTGCTCACCTTTCTAGCACCCTCTCACGTTACCTGCCTATATTTATCCGGCGTTCCCGCCACACCAAACTCCTACGGCTCCCTGGGTAGACACTGCTGTTTCCTTTTTGCGTCCTCTCAGGAGCACTTCCTCTCCCCACCAGCCTGGGAGAGGCTCGAATGTCTCCACTCTGGAGATCATTAGCTGGATCCTCAGGGCCCTGACTCGTTTGCATACGCTTCTCCTGGCACCAGCCTCACTGCCCTGGAACTACTTGTTCGATGTTTTCCACATTAGACCATGAATGAGCACCTGGTGGCCCAGGACCACATGCTCCATCGCAATGCCTGACCCACAGCACAGGCTCTGAACACAAATGGGTGGGGTGCTAGTTCTGGGCCCACCTCCTCTAGGAAGCCACCTTTGATGATTCCAGCTCAAGTTTACACTAATGAATCCCAAAACTGATAATCATCAGAATTACTAGGAGACCTTACTGAAAATTCAAGTTCTCAGGTCCTCTGAATAGAATTTCTAGTGAAGGAGCCTGAGAACCTTCATTTACAAAGCTCCCGGGGTGACTGTGGTAATCAGCCAGTCTGAGAGGCACCAGTTAACACCAAATAATTTACTAATTTTATTACTATTTTGATGTGTTACTCCCAAAAGCCTGAACATGTCCCAACGGCAGAGACCAAGAATTTAACCTTCCCTATATCTTCTCTCAAATAATTCAATTTCCCCAAAATTGAAAGCTTTAAAGAATATGGTAAAATGCTTTTCCTGATCTGCATATGCCTTCTTTCCTTCAAGATATGAATAATTCAAGGGCATTCATTCATCTACCCCTACTATGTGCACACGATCTGCAAAGTGTGAGGGTGTGCCCTTAGGTATTTGTCGGCACCAAGGCATCCACAAATGAACCCAGCAACGATCCTGAGGAAGTGGCTATGGTCCACACCAGCCACCAGGTGGTGCTAAGGAGCTGGAGTGAGATGTCATCCAAAAACTATCCACGAAACGTTGTGTTCATCTAAGTGCAGGGCTGCGTGCCTAGCGCTAAGGATGAGAGCTACGGCCCTGGCTCCCCACGGCCTCCTAGCAGGAAGGGACCCGCCTGCAGTGTCCTAGCCTTTATTCGGAAGGAGCACTACGGACCCAACCACGTGGGACCGTGCCTTGCTCCCAAAGAAAGCAGGACGCTGGGACTTGGTAGTGGTCTTGAATGTCTGCCTCCAAACTTTTAAGTGCTCCACACTGCCCACCAAATGCATGCCAATCCTCTGAACTTGTCACTCAAGGCACCAGTGACATCTTTTCCAGTCTTGTGCCCCAAGCTACTTGCCATTCCCGCACAACAAGCCACACACACTTACCTGCCTCCACCTGGACCTTTCCTTGCTCTGTCTCTGGCCCTGGGACATCCTCAAAACCACCTCCCTTTCCCTGTCCCCACTTGAATTCTAACCTCCTCGGGAGGCTTCTCCAGTCACCCCAGCAATGACTCTCTTCTCCCCTTTTTTGCATCTCTTGTAAAGCACCACTCCCATCTGCCTTGGGTTCTGGGTATTTGTGAAGGGATCTGTCTCCCCAACCAGGCAGTAAACACCGGGAGGACTGGGGGATTGTGTCTTTAATCATTTTCGCCTCCCCAACAGGTGCAAGCACAGTATCTTATTCAATGTTGAAAGACTTGAACTTACATACAATCTGTCTACTTGTTTGAAAAATACTTGATGAATTATTCTTTCTGCCGGGTCATTTTTAGCCGAGATGAGCACTAGAGCACCAACAGAATGCTTTGCAACAAGATTGGAACGTCTTCTGTCTGCACTGCCCATTACAGGCCACAGGTGGCCACTGAGTACATGAAATGTGGCTAATGAGACCAAACAACTGAGCTTTTCATTCTGTTTAACTTTACTTAATTTAAATTTAAATGGCCACATGTAGCTAGTGGCTACCATAATTGATGGCACAGGCTTGGAGGATCCTGATCCCAGGGATACCAAAATTATCCTACTGAGTGCAGCCCTCATTTCTCCCAGGCCCGCAAGGAGTGCAAGCAGGCTGGCAAGAGGTCTACTGCTGAACGGATGAGGAACAATGTTGTCCACCCGGAAAACCGTTTGTCAGGGTGGACACGGTGGTCATCTCACACCACAGGACTGGAGATCAAGTCCAATGCTGACTGAAAACTAGGGAGGGGGATGCACAGGTTTAGCCTCACTGCTCCTCCAGCACACAGAACTCCAGCTCTGGCCCCAGCTTTCTTCTCGCCTATATTCCACTATTCCCTGCTTGAAGCACCTCCACTGCCACAGAGCCAGCATTCCCCACACCAGCTTGTAAGAAGTCTGTGTAGGGCGCCTTTCCTTGGCCTCGTGTTTCCCTGGGAAGACCTTCTAAGAGAGCAACAGTACCACACTTGCCCTCTCTCTGTCCCCCACTTACTCTTCCTCAGGAGGGGAGAGTAACGTATCTGACAGGGAGAAAAAGCAGGCACCTGTGGCTCAGCCTCATCGAGAGTCCCTGCTTTCTCAAAGCCACCTGCCTGCAGAGAGCACTTTCAAGACCCACCACCTCAGTAGGCAGGCTTGCTCCTGCACACAGCCTGTGGAGGCCTGAACATGCAGTCGCCGTACATTCTGGTCTCTGCCTATCTCCTGGCTATCTCCCAAATCTCGTTCTTCTTCAACTGGTTCTAAACCTGGGAAAGGAAAGGTTGCTAATTTCAAGTCCCCAGAACCCCACCATTGTTCTGTGTTTTCACATCTCTGGCGTGGCTTCTGCATGGAGGGCTCTCCCACTCCTCTGGGCTGGCCGTAGTCCACCTTGAGTCAAGGACCACCTTCAGCCCAGCGGGTACTGCCGCAGCACCCCAACTAACTGGACCACAATGGTCTAGGACTTCCTGAATCCACACTTTTTTGGCTTCACTAACCTGACAGGCAATCATCGAGTTCTATATTTTTATTGTTATTCTTCTACTGTACTGTTATTTGACTTCTCAGATGTTCAGGACCTATTTCTCCTGTTGGATCAGACTCCTTGAGGGCAGGGGTCTAGCACAGTGCCTGGCACACAGGGACAGCACCCCCCGCACCCCCTTGTTTAGCATGTGAAAGCAGGGAGTCTGTTTTCAGGTGCCAGGCTGGGCCACATCAACAGTTTGGAGGCTCACTGTAGCCTGACTGATGGAAAAGACAGTGAAGGGACACACACTCACGCGATCTGGAGGGCTCGGGTACCCAGCACGCGGGCTCGTTCATACTTGGTCATATATGGTGTAGTGATGCGTTTCTGGTTGGCCTGCGGTCGCTCTCCAGAGGGAAGGATCTCCACATTCTCCTGGCCCTCCTGGACACCAAGGCAGAAAGAGGGAAACTCTCAGCGTTACTGAGGGGGAAGGGGAGGGTGACAATGACAATAATTATAACCACTACTACCGCTGATTACATGCCAGCGACCTTGCAACTGCCTTACTGACACCTCACTTAATCCTTTCAATAACCTTATGAATAGGGATGACCGTGCCATTTTAGGGGCTTGGAGAGTTACCTAACTTTGCCAAAGTCTCAGACCTAGTAAAAGAGAGGAATCCTGATCAGGATTACAAAGCCAGCTGCCTCGTCCAGAAGAAAGACGCAGAGGGCCTGGAGACGAGGCGGGCCCAGAACGCTGACTCCATACAAAGAAGTCCTTGAGCACTGACAAATCACCCCAAGCAGGAAATGAGAAACAAGTACCCCATCTTTTTTTTTTTTTTT